AAAAAAAAAATAAATAAAAGCTCCACCATTTAATAAAATCACACTTTAAAAGCTGGCATTCACTCATCATACCTCTGTAAATATTAATATACGCATATAATTTTTTACACAAACTTTGAATTCAAATAATCTCCTATACTTATTTTAACATGCATACACATGAAATAGATTAGATCAATAATGCATTCTTGAGGCATTTTCATTTATCTCCTGGAACTTAAATTAATGCATAAATACATAGATACATAAATTGAAATACATAAATCTGAACTTGGCAACTATATGGATTTACTGCACTTGGTACTTCAGAATCAAAGAGGTGAGGTAGGAGTGAGGTGATGAACAAAGTTGGGAATAATTTGGCTTCCTTTAGAAAATGTGGGGAGAGTGAATGTATTCTGTTCTGCACAGAATCTAGATAATTTGAAATGCATACATATCTGATTACCTGTAGCAGTTTTTGACTTATTACTAGATAGATTAAATGAAGATAATCCACACTGCTTGGATTTACAGACACTCTTGCCCGATTTTAACCATCTTAATTCCAAGCAACAAAGCTTTGCTCCTTTTGTAGCTTTGTTTTAACTTTTTAAATAAAAGTGATTCATATGTATTAATATGCTTATAACATAATCTTTTCTACCCATTTCCTATTACACACAGAAATTCCATCTGGAGTTAGTTTTTGTGTATGGTGTGAGGTACAGATCTTGTTTCATTTTCTGCAAATGGATATCCAGTTTTGCCAGCACCATTTATTAAAGACATTCTCTTTCCCTATTTAATAGATTTAGGCCCTTTGTCAACGATCAGCTGGCCATAGGTCGATGGATCTATTTCTGGGTTCTCAATTCTATTCCATTGGTCTACATGTCTGTCATTATACCAATACCAGACAGTTTTGACTATTGTGACTGTATAGTAGGTTTTGAGATCCAGCAGTGTGAGACCTCCTACTTTGTTCTTCTTCTTCGATAGTGCTTTGCTTATCCAAGGTCTCTTTCCTTTCCATATAAAGTTGTTGTTGTTGTTATGTGCTGTCGAGTCGTCCCCGACTCATTGCAACCCCTCCTTGGGTTTCCGAGGCAGTATCACTACGGAAGTAGGATTGCCCAACCTTCCTTCCGAGGAGTGGCTGGTGGATTTGAACCGCCAGCCTT